GGACTTGGCCCAAAGCATTTTGAGCTTTGCTGCTGCCGTAGTTATTGCTGTTGCCGTAACGGTCGAGAGCCGGGCTCAAATCGCGATTTTTACTGGGCTACAATCGAAGCGCTTGCGATTTTACCCGACTGAATTAAGTGAAAGCGCAGATTCCGTATACGCAGCGTGTGCCCAGTTGAAGTTTGAGGTACGGAAACTATCATAAATCAGCAGACCATCAGATTACTAGATGATGATGGAATTTAGGGAAATTTAAGAGAGCACTACCTACTAACTAAAAAATGTTTTGTGCTACAAAAGCATTTACGTTTGATTTTAAATATTGCATAATGACCTTGACCAAAACAAAGTTCTAGTTCTAGTTGCTAGTTTACAAAGCCTAAGGGGCTGATTGAGAATTTTTTTTCACATTGAGTATAACTTTTTATCTGAAGGCCTTTACACATTTCTGGGCCAACAAGTATAGAGTCAATAACCAGAACTTTCAATCAAGTATTGGAAGCTAAGCTGGCCAGATTTAGTATAAGAAAAGTGCAGAAAAACGGGCGAGACTCTAAGAAGGTAAAAAGGAGCTGTCCAACCTCGACTTACCTTGGCATAAGCTCTGTCAGCGCGAGCGATCCGTTTGATTTATGTATTCATTGTTTCGTGGCTACAAATCCCGTATAGATAAACGTGGTCCGGGTGTATTCAAGCAATTTATGAAATCCCGTCCCGGGACAGAACTCCGAGCCACTCGGCTGGCAGCCACAAGCCATTCAATGTCCAACGGGATTAGAGACAAATTAAAATTGTAATATTTTATTTATGTGCGTTGCTGTTGGCGGAGCTGAAATAACCACAGGAGCAAAAGCGACACTGGAATTGCGGCACGTTGTCCTTTTGGTCCTTGGCCTGGCCTTGGGTATTACGGGTTAATTTGTGTGTTTATTGCAGTTGGCCAAGTTTGGCGCTGGGTCCGAAAGCGACGACCATCTTTGGGGGAGAGAGCTCTCAGAGCCGACACTTAAACGTATTTACACGCGATGCGGGGCCAACAACAAGTGGAAGTTGAGCTCCACAGCTCCACAACCAAACAGCAAAAACAGCCAAAGAGCCACAGAGCCAACAATAAAAGCAGCCGAAACAGAGATGGCAAATGGTAAATGGCAAATGCCGAACGGCAAAACGAAATATTGTAGACTATTTAAAAAATTTATGTGCGGATGTTTTGCCGTCGGGATATTTCCGGTTTATGATGATTATGTTTTGTGTGCGCTTCCTCTGCTCTCGTCCTTTTCGTTTATTTTTAACAAGCGGATTACTTGGCGCCACCCTCGAGTTTTCCCTTCCCTTTCCCTTTTCCCTCCTCTTTTTTTTATTTGTGAACACCCCTCCACTCCTTCAGCACGCTTTTCTTCCGACGCTTTGTTTGCTTCCACTTCCATCCCATTCATCGCGCATAATAATAAACATAATTTGGTTTATTCTTTATTTTTTATTCACTTTTTATGTGTACATTTGCCTAGCCAGAAAATTGTTGCGTGTGCATTTTAATTATTGTTTTGCTTTTTTTATGTATATTGGTTTTTTTTTGTTTGGCTCTCTTTGAATTCCTCGAAAGACTTTCATCACTTCTCCGTTTTTGCTACTAAATATTCACAGTAATTTATCTTGCTACTGACTGAAAGAGGTGTATTAAATGGCACTCTAAAATGTGAAAGAAAGGAAGCAAGAAATGTCTTTCTTTCAATACAACTTTTGGGGGGAAATAAATCCCTCTTAACCCTATTAAATCTTAGTAAACACTTAAGAAGTGTCAGTAAAAATGTCCCCTTTCAATAATTAAAATAACTTGTATCTTTATCTTATCTTTTCAACTAGATTATTTATCGTATATTTGAATCTTTAGGAAAAACATTAAATTAGTTAAAAAAAAACATTTATTACAACCTAAGGTATTTTTAGGGTTTTTCAAAGGGTTTGACATTTGAAGTCTCTCAATGTTGAATGACAATTTATATTCCAGTTTTTTCTCTATAAAGTAACTCCCTTTTTAAAGTCGGACAACGATGAGTAATATGTCGCGCCAACGAAAAAATAAAGCAAGTGGAAATTAATTTGCCTGGGAAACCCAGTCAAAAAACGGGGAACAAGGAGCCGCAGAATAGCAAAGCGAGATACCAATAACAAGAGCTGAAACACAAAAACCAACAAAGGAGTGTAAGGGGTTCCTTTTTTTTTGGAGTTGGGGATTGGGTATTATTTTTATTCCTTTATACAAAAGGCGACATCGTCTGGCTTTTATTACGCTTGGCCATTCGCTGTTGTTGGTGGCGACGGTGGTTCTGTATGTGGTGGTGCTGTATGTGGTGGTGGGTGGTATGGTGGCATGGTGCCATGGCGGCATGCTGGCATGGTGGCATGGCTTGGTCAATGGCCAGCAGCCACAAAAAGTAATCTCTGAGCATAAACGCATATCCTGGACTGCAATTATGCCAAATGTTGAGCATAATGCCACCGCAATTTTCATTACCGCACACGACATGGCCAGCGGACATGTGTGTGTGTGTGTGTGTATGAGTATGTGTGTGCGACAATCTCCTCACACCCATGTCCGCCAAAAATAAATGCTAAATTTTGATACACATTTCGTTGGCGGTGTTAAGCTCTGAAACGCTTATTAGGCCCGGCCAACAAGCGGCAAATACAGCCCGGAAAACACAGGGGAGTTCAGATGAAACAGAAGCAAAAGCAGCAGTAGCAGAAAAAAAAGAAGAGAAGAGAGGAAAAAAAACAATAACTGGGCCTTAACCCAACAATGCCGGAGCTGCATGTACGCCTCATAAAAGTCTAATTAATTAAAATCGTGCCCGGCCAGCCAGCGGCAATCCCAAAGCCAATGTGCCAGCCTCAGTGGCAACCTCGGCAGCAACGCTGCGTATGCGTAATGCGCTCTGGGACTTTCGCCACGACGGCTGGCTGACTGGTTGGTTGGCAGGCGCTAATTAAAAGCCCGCCGCACAACTTTTCTAACCAAAAAAAAAAAAAAAAGGAAACAAAAAAATAATGTGTAAGAATCATAGGAAAATGAAAATTACCGCCTTTATCGATGTGACGAATCGGATATGCCCTGTAATTATATTTTGTGGTGAGAATGAAAGGGAAGTTTAAAGTCATGTTGAAGTTAGAAATTACTTTTTAAATTTTAAAATTTTTACTTCGATTATTCTACAAGCTTTTTAAAACCAAAACATACTTTTTATCCATAATTTTCCGGCTTGATAAATAAAAGTTTTTATTATGTAATGTTTCTTTATAATGAAGTTTATATATCATAGTGTTATTCATGGGTTATAAAGCCAATAGTTCCTCAAAATGTTAGTTCCTCCTTCGAACATTAGTTCCTGTTTGCCAAGCAGCAGCATTAACCCACAGAGACTTGATGGAAATCACTTTTAATAAACTTCTTTCCTACTATTGATGATTTTTATTGCGCGAGCTTTTGCCGAGCTCAGTCCAGGATGTTAATTAGATTTTATTATGCCTGTATCTTTGTGTGTGTGTGTGTGCTGGTGTGTGAGTGGGTTTGTCCTTTGTGCGCTTGCGACGGGGGCCAGATAATGCCAGCGGGGATTATGGCTTATTAAAAGGCTTATGAAAGTCAAAAGAAAAGTTTACTTAATTTCAGTTAGTTAAGCGCCAATGAAAGCCGCCCACTTGAGTATTGGCCAAAGCCAACAATGAGGAAAAAAGTTTGCTCCGGCGCCTCTGCCAAATGGCCAATAAAAATTGCCTGACTTGGGTCAACTCCTCAACGCCCAGCGACTCGCGAGGCTTTGGCAATTTTACAAGAATTTTCGGATTAGACTCGACCGGCACTTTATGGCCAGCACATAAATTCAAATGCTGCCAACATAAAATCAAATAAAAATCTGCAATAAACATCAAATTGACAACACGTTGAATGCAATTCGGTTTTTGGGAAGACTTGGTCGCTTTTCGGCCGACTTATTAACATGCCACCGTATTTGGCACACATTTTATTTTCCCATTTTTGGTTTATTTTTGGCATAAATAATTTGGCATTTTTGTGGGCAAGATTCGCTTTTTATAGATTTTTGTTTTCAATTACTAGGCACCAGCAACCAAACAAATTTGATGAGCTGGAAATACTGTGTGCATTGACTAATTTATTTAAGTGGCTTAAAATAATTAAATTATTGTTTAATATTTTTTTTGTTTAGTTTTAGTTTTGATAAACTGCGTAAATTTAATTGCAGTCTATTTTAAACGCTCTAAAGCATTTTGATCAAAGAGAGCTAACTAAATATTTATGTGAACGAAATGCATTCATTTTATCTAATTAATAAGGCAAACAAACAAATGCACAAGCGTTATTAGAATGTGTGTGTACTGTTTATTCATTTTACGGACGTATCACTGTAGTTGGGTCCGTTTTTATGCGCGGTGTGTTTGTTACCTTGGCTATCGATGGACCGTCATAGACATTCCGCTCCAATGGTTATGAAGGGGAAGTCATACACTCTTGGGTTCACCCTCCTCAAGTTCCTTTGACTAGCCGACTTTGACTTCCTTCCTCTGGTTCACGTTTCTCGGGTATTTCACCCAGCAATTGTGGGACCAATTGTCCGCACTTTTTTTCTCCAGCCGGTCCTGTGCATTTTAATGTCCTTCCAGTACTTTATGTATTCAATTCACCTCTTATTTTCTTTCTTTTTTTTGTCAAAAAGAGTTGAAAACATGCTGGGCACGTGCTGATTGATGTAAAATGCGTAATACGCGTGGTTATGTTTATAGCCAAAAAAAAAAAGGAATGAACGAAGGGAAAGGTTTGTATAGATAACAGTTGAAAGAGGTAAAGTTTTCTAATTACAATATACAAGGCAGTTAAAGGGAGGAAATACTGGCTATTTTCTTTTCGTTTTTTAAAGTCTAGCCATTTTTGGTTAATAATCTTTAATGCATGCAACATTAATTATTGTTTTACATCAATTATATTTTATACATGAAAAAAGATAAAAATAAACGACCTCTAGTTATCTTGATAGCCTATGAAATAGTAATTAAATCTTTATGAGAATTTACGTAAAATATTTTATTTGGGGCTCCACGGTGGTTAAACGAACTGATAAGATAACGCATTATCATTATCACTACAACACTTACAATACACTTTTGTTTTTACTCCAAAACGTGATAATAAGCAAGGCGTATAAGTGTGTAAAAAATTTAGATTATAAACTGTTAACTCGCTTAGTGACTCGCTATACCTAAATTTTATTTTTATATATACTTCGCTTTTTATAATAGTTAGAACACTTAGTCAAAGAGCACCTTATGATTATTATATACACTACTTAAAACTAAATAAATCTTACTTACATTTCCAAAAGGCTACCTATTTCAAATTTACACATGAATATCTTAGGTTATTCTAACCATATGCACACTCAGTCGGTACTCAACGTTTCTTGTAGCTAGTGAGACCAGTTTCCAACCCAAAAAGATCACAATAACGGCACTCAGTCCGATTCTGCCAAAAAGCACCGAAACCATATCTATGTTGTAGTATTGAATAAGGGACATTTCCTGTTCGGCGATTCGCATGTGATCTGCTCCTTTGTGCCGCAGGACATATTCTGTCCACCAAATCGCGGTGTCGATAGGCGACATTGGTTGGTCATGAAATCGTTTGTTCAAATTTATTGCATTTAGCTTGTAACTGGAATTCGAAAGCATTTCCTTAACCACTTCGACAATTTCATCGCGAGTGAGCTTCATTATGTCCAGACTTCTGGCCACTCCCAACTGCTCCATTCGCTTGGTGTTCTGAAACTGATCGTAAAATAATGGCAGACATAACTGTGGAACAGCATAGTGAATAGATTCAATAATGCTCAGAAGTCCAACATGGGTTATGAATATCTTTGTATTGGGATGGTTTAGGATCTCCCGCTGCGGAAGCCATTTTCTCGCGAAGACATTCTTAAAATTCTTAGCCATTGCCGGATTGTTGCTTTTCCAAAGCACTTGCTGTTCCAATTGTCCGAAGGCTTCTAACATCGTTTCAAGCATTCCCGGTGGCAGCCATTTGTCCAGGACTTGCAATCCCATGGAAAAATATATAACTCCATGTTTTGCTTCATCCAGTATTTTTTTCAGCTCATCATCCAAGGGAACTGGTGGCTCATCCAAGTGCATTCCTGCAACTTCCACAATATTGGGTACATTACTCCTCACTCGACCCATACTAAAGTGCTGATTAATAAGGATCAACGCGAATCTCCGACGGAGATCATGAATACTAGCCGATACTCCGGGAAAGTATTGCTTGTAGAGATCTACTTGGCTTGGCAGGTAAATAAATCTCTCCATTAGTCTTTCTTCGGTAATAAAGATTAGATTGTGCCACTTCTCCATCAGACTATGACCAGGTGAATAACCCAAAGCAAATATGGGTTCGTAGACACTCGGTGCCGAGTTCCCCACCAGGAAGTCAATATTCCATGCCGATCCGTAGGCAGCAATTCCCAGCAGCGGTGCATTAAAGTGCTGTGAAAATCCAAGGAGAGCATCCGTGTGGGTGGCCTGCAAAATTATCGCCGAAAACTGGGCACTCGAGTTGTGGAGCAGCTCCTGCACTCCAGGATCCTCTAGGACAAATTTCGAACATTTAAAAAAGTATTCGGACACAAGTTGTGCCTCATTCCATTTGCTTAACGCAAAGTCTTCGTAGTCGAAATCCACATGTTCTAAAAAAATAAAATTGAAATATTGAATTTTATATTATAAACAATAATAATATATTATAAATTTCATTAATGTAGACTATGTAAATAACAATCTTTGGACTGATGACTGATTTCTGTGTTCATTACATTTATTTTTTAAAGCACCAAAATCAAATATTTTCGGCGGGGTTACTAGGCACTATCTTTGTAAACAGACTATTCATTTTTATAGGAAGCTATAATAACAAATGATAAACCATGGAAGTGTAAAGAATTATTTTGTTATTTATATATGGTTGAGGGTCATTACCTTGCTTTAGCATATCCAATTTGGTCACGCGAATGTGATAAACCCCTTCTATGTGGGGCATTTCGGTGACCGATGAAATCACAGTAAGTTGGTGACCGCGTTCCAAGAGTCTCCTTAGATAGGGAACAATAAGCAGGTAGGGTGAGTCATATGTGTACGAGAAGATGGCCAGAATGTTTTCCGATCCGGCCAGTTTGGGGCACAGAAGGCCATATATCAGAGCCGGGAGCAGCAGAGCCCTAATGCTCGTGCCCCTCGACATTTCACGTGAATCGACCGTACATTCCGCTGCCCAAGGTGATACTGTTTTTTATTTGGTCAAAATACCTCGCTGTCAAAACTCGCTCGATCTGGCAATCTAATCAGCGTGAAAAAATGAGCGAAAATGCGCAAGAGCTTGAAATAAAAACTCTTCAGTTAGTCTGTTCAAAAGCGTGCGCTCGATCGTTAAGTTTTCCGCGGGGCGATGGCTTCTTCAGCTTTTCTGGCTCACTTCGAAAGCGACCTGCTGGATAAATGGCTTCGCCCTCGGGACGCATTCGCAGAGCCTCCTTAATTAACGAATATAATTGAGGTTGGCTGATTGCATATGCAACAGCAGCGAAAAGTGCAGCAGGTGAAGTTTTCTAATACAAGGCAGTTAAAAGGAGGAAATACTGGCTATTTTTTTTTTTTTTTGCTAATTTTGCTTATTTGTTTAACTTAAATAATGGTGAGAAAATTAATAAATTATATAAGAATCGTATTTTGACCATAAAAAAGGAAAAAATAAAAGACCACATATTATCTTGATAGCCTATTGAATAATTATAAAATCGTTACGATAATTTTCGTAAAATATTTTATTTGGGGTTCCACGGTGGTTCAACGAGCTGATAAGATAACGCACTATCAATGACTAAACCACTTACAATTAATACATTTTTTTGACTTCACAACGTGATTATAAGCGACACATAATAGTTTGTACAAAATTTAGATTATAAACTGTAAACTCGCTTAGTGACTCGCTAAAAAAAAAGTTTTTTACGTTTTAATTTTTATATTATATATGCAAGACTATTAAGTTAGAGAGAACCATCTATTCTAAACACTTTTTGAAACAAAAGAAATCCTACTTATGCATTTCCAAAAGGCTACCTACTTTAAATTTCAGGTTTATCTAACCATGGGCACACTAAGTCGGTATTCAAGGTTTCTCGTAACCAGTGAGACCAGTTTCCAACCCAAAAAGATCACAATAACAGCACTCAGTCCGATTCTGCCAAAAAGCACCGAAACCACATCTATGTTGTAGTATTGCATAAGGGACATTTCCTGTTCGGCGATTCGCATGTGATCTGCTCCTTTGTGCCGCAGAATATATTCTGTCCACCAAATCGCGGTGTCGATAGGCGACATTGGTTGGTCATGAAATCGATTGGATAAATCCATTGCATTTAACTTGTAACTGGAATTCGAAAGCATTTCCTTAACCACTTCGACAATTTTATCGCGAGTGAGCTTCATTATGTCCAGACTTCTGGCCACTCCCAACTCCTCCATTCGTTTGGTGTTCTGAAACTGATCGTAAAATAATGGCAGACATAACTGTGGAACAGCATAGTGAATAGATTCAATAATGCTCAGAAGTCCAACATGGGTTATGAATATCTTTGTATTGGGATGGTTCAGGATTTCCCGCTGCGGAAGCCATTTTCTCGCGAAGACATTCCTAAAATTCTTAGCCATTGCCGGATTGTGGCTTTTCCACAGCACCTGCTGTTCCAATTGTCCAAAGGCTTCTAACATCGTTTCGAGCATTCCCGGTGGCAGCCATTTGTCCAGGACTTGCAGTCCCATGGAAAAATATATAACTCCATGTTTTGCTTCATCCAGTATTCTTTTCAGCTCATCATCCAAGGGAACTGGTGGCTCATCCAAGTGCATTCCTGCAACTTCCACAATATTGGGTACATTACTCCTCACTCGACCCATACTAAAGTGCTGATTAATAAGGATCAACGCGAATCTCCGACGGAGATCATGAATACTAGCCGATACTCCGGGAAAGTATTGCTTGTAGAGATCTACTTGTTTTGGCAGGTAAATAAATCTCTCTACCAGTCTTTCTTCGGTAATAAAGATCAGGTTGTACCACTTCTCCATCAGACTGTGACCAGGTGAATAACCCAAAGCAGACATGGGTTCATAGACACTCGGGGCTGAATTTCCCACCAGGAAGTCAATATTCCATGCCGATCCATAGACAGCAATCCCAACCAGTGGTGCATTAAAGTGCTGTGAAAACCCATAGAGAGCATCCGTGTGCGAGGCCTCCAAAATGATCAGCGAAAACTGGGCACTCGAGTTGTGAAGCAGCTCCTGAACTCCAGGATCCTCCAGAACAAATTTCGAACAGTTGAAGAAGTATTCGGAAACAAACTGCGCCTCTGTCCATTTGCTTAATCCGAAATCTTCGTAGTCGTAATCAATAAGTTCTGAAAATAATGGAAATATTTAATTTCATATTATAAACAATGATACTATATTATAAGTTCATTGTCTCGACTGTCTAACTAACATTTCGTGAAACCACTCCAAACACAATTGATTGATTACGGCGTTCATTGCGATTATTTTTTATAGCACCATAAACAAATATTTTCGGAGGGGTAACTAGGCACTATCTTTGTATACCGATTGTAAATGTTTATAATTGGCTATAAAGACAATTGATAAATCAAGGAAACCTAGACATTAAAATATCTTCGAGGACTGTTACCTTGCTTTAGGATATCCAATTTGGCCACGCGAATGTGATGAACACCTTCTATGTGGGGCATTTCGGTGACCGATGAAATCACAGTAAGTTGGTGACCGCGTTCCACGAGGCTCCTTAAATAGGGAACAACAAGCAAGTAGGACGAGTCAAATGTGTACGAGAAGATGGCCAGAATGTTTTCCGTGTCGACCAGTTTGGGGCACAGTAGGCCAAAAATCAAAGCCGGGAGCAGAAGAGCCGCGATGCCCGTGCCCCTCGACATTTCACGTGAATCGACCGCACATTCCGCTGCCCAAGGTGATACTGTTTTTTATTTGATCAAAATAACCCGCTGGCCAAGCACTCGATGTGGCAATCTAATCAGCGTGAAAAAAAATGAGCGAAAATGCGCAAGAGTTTGAAATAAAAACTCTTCAGTTAGTCTGTTCAATAGCGTGCGCTCGATCGTTATGTTTTCCGCGGGGCGATGGCTTCTCCCGCTTTTCTGGCTCATTTCGAACGCGACCTGCTGGATAAATGGCGCTCGGATCCTCGTCATCGCCCCCTTCGAGACGCATTCGCAGTGCCTCCTCTTGATGCCCTATATAGAGGCCCTGGCCGAACGGGGTCACCAATTGACGGTTATACATGCCTTCAAGCACTGCAAGCCAGTTGGAAATGAGACTTATATACGCATATCAGATAATAACAATGTTTTTGCAGGTGAGTTACAATAAGAAGAGTACAAATGAAGGAGAAATATTACATCCATATTGATTAAGCCAAGACATTTTTTAGATAAACTAATTGGCACCCCCCTTACAAAATATAGACTATAGATAACAAATATTGTTTTAGTGGCAATCGCAAGTTGGTTTCTCAATTATATGTAATCGAAACTCGCAGATTACATGTTTTAAGAAACCTTTGTTTTGATGTCTTTTACAAAGAATAATCTTAAAGAACATTATTTTTATAACATCTTCTAAAAATCAATGATAATTTATTTGTGTTGAATGTAAATTCTATTTGATATATTATTCTTTGCTTCCTTTCCTTTATTCTAGAATTTGAGGAGTTTATGGTATATGCAACGACAAACAAATGGGAGGAAATGAATTCCATGGCGAGAATCATGATAAATGCCGGCCTGAATGTACTAAATAATGCGGAAGTACGTGCCTTAATGAAATCAAATACTACCTTCGATGCTGTAGTTGTAGAAGCGGGTTTCACGGATGTACTTTTCGGCTTGGGAGAACTATTCAATGCTACACTGATTGGAATTTCCACCTGCGGAGCGGATTGGAATCTTAATACTTTGGTGGGCCACGGAGTATCCGTTTTGGTGGAGCCTCTTATGCCAATGAGCGCGATACCTGTCAGAAATGTTTGGGATCGTATCTACATGTGGTATTACAACACCGAAGAATGGCTGCTTTTGAATTTGGTGTTCATCCCGAAACTGCGACTGGTTCATGATCATTTCTTTGGTCATTTGAAAAAGAGCTTTGTGGAAACCCGTCAGGGGTTTTCACTTATGCTGCTTAATCAACACTTTAGCCTTTTCAGAGCTAGATCAAGTGTTCCGGGAATGATTGAAGTTGGTGGCTTCCACATCCCCAAAATGGATCCCACACTTCCTGAGGATCTGCAGATATTTATCGATGAGGCAGAACACGGAGTCATCTATTTCGCTTTGGGAGTGGAGCTGCAGAGTAGAGATTTGCCACAGGAATTTCAGAAAATGCTGCTTAAGATTTTTGCATCATTGCCACAACGCGTAATTTGGAAGTTCGAAGGAAAACATCCAGCGAATGTATCAAATAATGTCTATTTGTCTAAGATGTTGCCACAACAAGCAATTCTGGCACATCCAAATGTTAAAGTTTTTATAAGTCACGGCGGAATGTTAAGCATCTTTGAGGCTGTTTATTACGGAAAAAATATTATAGGTCTGCCTTTGTTCTACGATCAATTCAGGAACTTGGAAGTTCTGGTGGAGGAGGAAGTGGCCATCGAGTTAAGAATAAACAGCATGACTGAAGAGGTGATGCGTGATTCCCTGGATCGCCTGTTGTATCAACCAAAGTATCGGGAAAAAGCACGTTCTATTTCCGAGAAATTCCGGGATCAACCTATGCACCCTTTAGATTCAGCCATCTATTGGACCGAATATGTTATACGATACAAGGGCGCAAAACATATGAGGGTTTCCCAGTCGCAGGTGAAGCTGGCCGAATATTATTCCCTGGATAAATTCCTTATGGTCGGAGTAAGACTTTTCTTGGTTGTGGTTTTCGTTTTCTTTGCTCTTTCCAATAGAATGGTTTTCCTTAATTATTTGGCTCGATTTGTAAAGTCTTTCATACCTGTTATTGGTATACAACGTAATGTTGAAGTGATAAGATGACTTATAAATTATTTAAGTATTTTATTGAATTTAAGTGGAAAATTTTAGAACGATTGCTTTCTACTGAGATAACAGCGCCCATAATAATATTATAAGCAGTAGATAAAAAGGTCAACAAACAAATGTTATGATCAACAAACCTATTTAAACCTACCACAAAAAAATCATAATTATGTACTGCTACTATTAAAATTAAAATAAGCTTAAATATTACGGATTTTAAACAAAATCATCATATAAAAATGAAAATTTTGTAATAAGGTTAAAAAAAATCCAAATAAATAATCGATTTCTGCTGGCTGCGCATTTGAAATGTATATTTCGACTTCGATTGTAATTATTTTATTGGTGTTATAGGTAGATTACAGCAGGGACAATGAATGATAAGCACTTTGTTGGCATTATCTAATCTTAATTTTCTATTATTTATGATTGTTTCCAAGTTTTTCTAAAAGCATTATTGAAACGGTTCAGTTTTTTGGTCCATAGTGCGCCGTACATTTAAGCAAATAAATATATAAAATATAAATTGTTTTTTGTTAAAACAAGTTTTAATGTTTTTTTACAAGATTGAATAATAAAATTAATTTATTGTATTAAAAACTAAAAAAAATTGTGGTTATATTGTAGTTCTTGTCCCACGTTTTCAGTTTACCCCTAAAACTAAAGAGTAAGTAAATAGTAGTGTAGGGTATATTGTTGTTTACTGCTCTCTGAGCACAAAAATCGTATTTAATTAAAAGTGTGAGTAAACAATAACAACGTGAGAACCTGACAATCAAAGAGTTGAAAACCGATAAAGCGAAAACTTAAGAGTACTTTGTGGAGAATTAGAGCACAATTCAACTCTCTCATCGCTTGCATAACAACTAAATATTGCGTGTAAACAATAAACAAAGTTTTCAGAGTCAAGCCGGTGACGCCAAAAAACATATGTGCACAAACTAAAAAAATAGAAAAAGAGCAAATTTTGATGTGTTTAAAATAAGCTAAGCTTGTGTATCGCTTCAGTGAATTTGCTTTGTGTAGAATGAGCAAAAATTCGGGATTTTTTTATGGGCTCTCAACGATAATTATATGTGTATAGAAATACTTCCATGTTTGATTAGTTCTCGTCGGTCAGCGTATCGCTTTGGTTGCTTCGGAAATGGGCATTATACGTTTTAAAACAAGTTTGCTGCTATTTGGCCTGGTGTTGTTATTAGACACCATTGCCACCGAAGAAGCTCAGAGTTCCCGCATTCTGGCCGTGTTTCCATTTCCCGGCCGATCGCAGTACATATTTGCAGAACAGTATCTCAAGGAACTAGCTCGTCGGGGTCACAATGTCACCGTAATAAATACTTTCGGCAGCGATAAAAATGAACCCAATTTTCGAGTGATTGGTGCAAAGAAAATTCACGAAATAATGGCAGGTAAGTAGCTTATCAGTGGCGAAAATATATGTTTAACAGAGACTGATTGTAAGTAGGTACATTTTTGTTAACATTTTCTTTGCTAACATGTTTTATTTTTAACTGGTATTTATAAAGTGAACAGTTCTTAAAAAAAAATTATATAGACATACCCACAAATTCTAAGCGTTAAATGTTCAGAAAAAACATTTCACTTGTAATTATCTCGATTTCTACTATTTTTAATAGTAACTAATGTGTCAAAATACTTTTTTCAGCATTTGGAAATGCGGACTACAACCAGGATGCGAGCCAATGGAAAATTTTGTCCATGACCACCGAGTTCCTCAATCTTTTGACTACAAGTGTGCTAGATGAACCGGCTGTAAAGGAGTTAATAAACGGCGAAGAAGGTTTTGATTTGGTTGTATTGGAAACGGTGCAAACAGAAGCCCTTTTTGGCTTAGCTCAACATTTTGGAGCCCAGACTATTGGAATATCATCCTATGGCACCGACACTCATATCGATGAACTAATGGGAAATATATCACCTTTATCCTTTAATCCCTTGTTGTTATCCGCGCGAACGGAGAAAATGGATTTCGAAGGAAGATTGCGAAATGTTTGGGAATCTTTAGTCATGTGGTTTCATAAAAAAACTATCCACTTGCCAAGTCAGCAGGATTTATATGCAAAATACTTTCCAAATGCCAAGAAATCGCTGAATGATGTTCTGGATAGCTTTTCCTTGATGTTGCTTGGTCAACACTTTTCACTAAGTTATCCACGTCCTTATTTGCCCAATATGATTGAAGTAGGCGGACTGCATTTGCAACAGAAACGAGAAGTGCAACCTTTACCAAAAGATTTAGCAGAGTTTGTTGAGCAATCTCCACAGGGAATCATTTATTTCTCAATGGGTTCCAATATAAAGAGCAAAGATCTGCCACCCGCCACCCGTAAAGTTCTAATGGAAACCTTTGCCAGTTTGTCTCAACGGGTTTTGTGGAAATTCGAAGATGATCAGCTGCCTGAAAAACCCACTAATGTGTTTATTAGCAAGTGGTTTCCTCAACCGGATATCCTGGCCCATCCAAATGTTAAGCTGTTTATAACCCATGGAGGATTATTAAGCACCATTGAGAGTATTTACTTTGGCAAACCGATTTTGGGTCTGCCAGTTTTCTACGATCAGCACCTGAATGTTCAGAGGGCAAAGCAGGCTGGTTATGGTTTAAATGCTGATTTGTGGAGTGCAAATGCCTCAGAACTTACTTCATTGATCCAGGAACTATTGAGTAATCCCAGTTATGCGGAGGCAGCTCAGATTAAATCGAAACTATTTCGGGATCAGAAGGAAACCGCTTTGGAACGAGCCATTTGGTGGACCGAATATGTTTTGAGGCACAAGGGTGCCAGCCACTTGAGATGTGCCTCCAAAGATCTTCACTTTATCCAGTTGCATGGCTTGGACACCTGGGGACTCCTCATCGCTGTTGCGTTACTTTCTATACTGATCTTTGTGACTGCACTGAACTATCTAGTAAGAGGTCTCGGTTATATCATCAAAAAGCGCGGTGAGAGGTCGAGCAAATTGAAGACCCAGTAACCAATTAAAGGCCATTAGCTGGCTTCGTTTATGCCATCACAGATCTATTGTATGTGACTTATAACTAACATTAGTGTAGGATGCATTTGAAATTAATTGTTTTGTTATTAGCACCTACAAATAATCATTAAACAAAAAAAGGAACCCATTTAATATTATGGGGTGTGTACTAAAGTTATTTATTTTTAGTATTTAAAAGATAGAACTTTTTGTACTTACTTTAACTCACAGTGTAAAATCTAAGAATAGAAAGCAAAATAAAAGTATTTTTATGAAAAACTCAACTGTCAAACGTCAAATTATTATAATCATTTTTCTGCACGCATGGACTGCAACCTTTGTTTATCAGTCAATTTAAAGTCATCACTAACAAAGGTGACACACTCAAAAAAATGTGTACTAACTTCTTGTGAGAAATTAAAAATAAAACTAAGCATGAATTAATTCAGTGCAAGTAAATACCTTTTCTTGTTAAAAAAAATCTATTTCACAACGTAGATAGTTCTTTTTTTGACTGTAGGTAATTGTTTATTCAAAAGAGCTATGTGATGTGGCTGTATGTTTGAGGGATTGAAGGGGATAAGATAGGGGAATGCTTAGTGATGGGGTGCGACAGTGAGATGTGGATCGCCTACGAAATTGCCAGAATCGCTATCGCATGTTGACTACTGAAGGTGTTATCTAATAGAAGTCTACTACATTGTAATGTACGTCTGCCGATTTAGTTTATAGCCTAAGTCTGCGGAAACCAGACGAACCGTAAAATGCTGGCTCTGCAGTTAGTTGGTCTGTTCCTGGTTCTACCTGTTTACATCGAATCTGCCAGGATATTAGCCATATTTCCCTATCCTGGACCTTCGCAGTACATCAATGTTGTGCCTTATCTGAAGACACTGACCTCCCGGGGTCACCAGGTGACCTCGATTAATGCATTTCCCCAAAAGAAACCAGTTGAAAACTTTCGAGATATTCCCAATCTGGAAGTGTTTGACAATTACAATGGTATGTTTAATAAAAACATAACATTTTAACATTTTAAACAGTTACGGTAACTTTTATTTAATTTTTTTTTTTTAGAAATCATAAACGATCTTAAAGATCCCCAGAACATTTGGGAGGAGAACAATTTCATAAACAACTTTTTTTTGAACATCACTCGCTCTGTTTTCACCAACAAAAAGGTGGCGGAAACCCTTTTGCCTCCAGGAAAGGATCACTTTGACTTGATCATTGTGGAGGCTCTACGCGGAGATGCTTTTTATGGATTTGCAGCGCACTTCAATGCTCCCATTATTGGAATCTCGACCTTTGGAACCGATTGGAACATTGATGAGCTGGTGGGCAATGTTTCCCCTCTGTCGTACACTCCTCTGGTAACAGCGGGCTTCACGGATCGCATGACTTTCATGGAACGCGTGTCTAACTTTTTGGATACTACAATTGCCTGGTTAAACTATAATTTGGTACACATGCCAAAACAGGAGAAGATGTATAAGCAGTACTTTCCAGAGGCCTCAAAAAGGGTTCCTCTATCCCAGTTGAACAGAAACTTTTCTCTGATTCTGCTGAATCAGCACTTTTCGCTGAGTTTTCCGCGTGCATATGTACCTAATATGATTCAAGTTGGAGGTCTGCATATATCTCATAAACCAGCTCCTTTGCCGATGGAATTAGAGGAATTTGTTCAGGGCTCTGGTGAGCAGGGAGTGATCTACTTTTCACTGGGATCCAATGTTAAGAGCAAGGATCTTCCGCCGGAAAGAAGAGAACTGATTCTAAAAACCTTTGCCAGCCTTCCGCAACGAGTTCTTTGGAAATTTGAGGACGATCAGCTGCCGGGAAAACCAAAGAATGTGTTTATAAGCAAGTGGTTCCCTCAGCCGGATATCCTGGCACATCCGAAGGTCAAGTTGTTTATAACCCACGGTGGATTACTAAGCACCATTGAGAGCATTCACCATGGCAAACCAGTTTTGGGTCTTCCCTTCTTCTACGATCAATTTTTGAATGTAAAGAGGGCCACTCAAGCAGGATTCGGCTTGGGTTTAGACCACAATACAATGACCCAGCAGGAGTTCAAGGTCACCATTGAGCGGTTGATCAACGAGCGGCAGTTTGCCGAAACGGCCAGAAAGATGTCGAATCGTTATCGGGATCAACCCATGAGTCCTTTGGACACGGCTATTTGGTGGACAGAGTATGTCCTGCGGCACAAAGGAGCTTATCACATGAGGGTAGCTGGCCAGGACTTGGGTTTCTTCGCCTACCACAGCTTGGATGTCATGGCCTTCCTTTTGGGTTGTGCTCTCCTGATCCTTTCGATAAGTATTTGGATTGTTTGGAAAACAGCTACGTTAGCTGGTTTCGGAAACTCAAAAAAAAGCAAAAAACTCATTAAAAGGAAATGACATCTTAACAAATAACATTAGGTTTGTAATTTTAAATTTTTTAATAGGGTGAAATAAAGAAACATGTAAAAGTTAACTTAATCCCGATTAAGGTCTAATTATTTTTATAAATCAAAATCAAAATGAAGCAGGTAAGCAAGATATAAGTATGTAGATTTACAGCCTTTTATGTGTACTTTCCCTTAAAAGAGAATATCATAATTTATTGCTAGAGTTTACTAATCTTATCAGCAAAATGGTTATTTTTTCGGCCAGACTTCTACCAGACGGTCTTCTACCAGCCAATCTCGCACTAGTTAGTCTTGGGATTGATTTGATGGCTAAAGCACGTCTAAAAATGTTGGCTCTAAGATCGTTATTTCTGGTTTTGGCTCTTTCGCCAGGTTTTTTAGAAGGAGCTCGCATACTGGCCTTATTTCCCATACCGAGCCCTTCTCACTATTTTTACTCATTGCCCTACCTAAAAAGCTTGGCCACTTTGGGCCATGAAATAACTTTGGTAAGTCCGTTTCCGGCAAAAGAGGCTGTGGATAATATACATAATATTTATGTGCCGGAACTATTTGACAATGTCGAGGGTAGGTGGCTACAGTTACAGTTGTTAAAGATTTAAATTTATTATTAAGTTCTTTGCAGAAGTAATCAATTATTTAAGTACGAGTAAATCTAAAGGCATTTGGGAAGTAAATGAATACGTCAACAACTATAACCTAAACCTCGCAAAAACAGTGTTGAACAATGACGCAGTTCGTCGGGAGATTTTGAAACCAGGAAAGGCCCAGTTTGATCTGATCATTACTGATCTGTGGCGTTTCGATGCTCTTTATGGCTTGTCGGCCTATTTCGATGCCCCAATAATAGGAATCGCAACGTATGGCAATGATTGGAAAATCGACGAGTTGGTTGGTAACATATCCCCGATTTCGTATCTTAAGTCTACTTCGTACTATCACCATGACTTGAGAACTTATAGAGGTCGTCTGGCATATTTTGTGGACCAATCTTTATCTTGGATTAACTGGCATTGGCGATATGCGGAGAAGCATGAAGCCCTCTACAGAAAGTATTTTCCTAAAATAGCTGATAAGCAGCCACTGTCTGCGATATGTCGAAACTTTTCCCTGGTTTTGATTAATCATCATTTTACTCTGGGTGCACCACGCCCTTTTGTTCCAAGTCTAATCGAAGTTGGTGGCATGCACATTAATGAGCAACCAAAAGCGTTGCCCAAGGAGTTTGAGGACTTCATCCAAGGAGCTGGTGAACATGGAGTCATTTACTTTTCTCTCGGAACCAATGTTAAGACCGAAAATCTGTCAGAGGATCGCAAGAAAATATTGATCGAAACATTTGAAAGCCTGCCACAGCGAGTCCTGTGGAAATTCGAAGATGAAAATTTGCCGGGAAGGCCCTCGAATGTGTTGATCAGCAAATGGTTTCCTCAGCAAGATCTACTGGCTCATCCAAAAGTTAAACTATTTATTACCCATAGTGGATTACAAAGCACTGTTGAAAGCATTCATAGTGGCACACCGATGTTGGGACTGCCCTTCTTTTATGATCAGTATCGAAACGTGGCCCAAGTAAAGGAACTTGGTCTGGGGTTGTCTCTCAATTTTATGGATATGACAGGCGATGAGTTTAAGAGCACTATTATTGAGTTGTTGACAGAGAAAAAATATGACATCGCTGCTAGAACAGCAGCAGCTCGACATCGAGATCAACCCATGAAACCTCTGGAAACGGCAATCTGGTGGACTCACTATGTCCTTCGACACAAAGGAGCACCTCATATGCGGGTGGCTGGCAGGGAACTGGACTTCTTCACCCATCACAGCCTAGATATCTTGGGGACTTTTCTTATTGGATTTTTGCTTATTCTTGCAATTGTTGCTATGTGTGTTAAAAAAATCCTAAAAAGTGTTTTTCGAAGCAGAAAGCATAAAACGTTGCAGAAGAAAAAAGTCAGATAAAATGTATTGAAAATATAATTAACATTTAATTAGCTGTTTTACTTTTCAAGCAAAGTTAAAAATAGATTTAAAAACGTGATCCAAAATATGTAATCTTTATCAACGTTTGTAGTCGAGTCGAAATAAATATATTACTCAGATTAATAAAGCAAATACACAACGAAACAAAACATTTTTATACACACTTTGTGATTTGATGTCAGCCTTATCTTATCGGGTAGCATTAGAAAGCGAATTTGTTTGTTAGAGTTTCAGTCTTTCGCCGGATCTTGGGAGAAACACTCGCATTGATTAAAGATGTTTTCTTTATTCTTGTTCTGTCGGTTAATCTTCCTTGTTTTGTTATCTAAACCGTTTTTTTTGGAAGGAGCTCGCATTCTCTCTTTATTTCCCGTTCCAAGTCCTTCACATTTTCATTATGTCTTACCGTATTTAAAAAACTTGGCTTCATTGGGTCATGAAATTACCTCTGTTAGTCCGTACCATTTGAAAGCACCTGTGAGTAATATACGAGAAATTCTTCTTCCAGAAGTGTTTGATAGTTTTGAAGGTAAGCTTAAAGTGTTTCACTTAGAAACGGAAACATATTTAAAAATGTTGATATTTAAGCAACACCTTAAATCCTTTCTTAATCATTTTAACTACAGATTTCATTAAAGCAATGACAACGCCGAAAAGTAAGTGGGAGTATTATGAGGTCACAAACGAATTCGTGTACAACATCACAAAAGTTGTACTGAACAATGAAGAAATCCAACTGAAGATTCTCAAGAAAGAAAATGTCCAATTTGATCTCATTATTGTGGACCTGTGGAAGTATGATGCTCTTTATGGCTTCGCGGCATATTTTAATGCACCATTAATTGGAGTAGCTCCTTGTGGAACTGATTGGAAGGTTGACGAATTAGTGGGTAATGTATCCCCGATTTCGTACCTCCAATCTCCTTCTTCCTATTTCTATGACTTGGAAACTTATGGTGGTCGCTTGGCATATTTTATGGATCAATCTTTATCCTGGATTAACTGGCACTGGCGCTTTGCGAAAAAGCACGAAGCTCTGTACAAAAAGTACTTTCCAAAAATAGTTGATAAGCAGCCACTGTCTAAGATTGTTCGAAACTTTTCCTTGGTTTTGGTTAATCAACATTTTACTTTAGGACCTCCACGCCCATATGTTCCAAATGTAATCGAAGTTGGGGGCATGCACATTAATCAGGCAACAAAAGCGTTACCCAAGGAGTTAGAGGACTTTATCCAAGGAGCTGGTGAACATGGAGTCATTTACTTTTCCCTGGGAACTAATGTTAAGACCGAAAGTCTGTCAGAGGATCGCAAGAAAATATTGATTGAAACATTTGAAAGCCTGCCACAGCGAGTCCTGTGGAAATTCGAAGATGATGAGTTGCCAGGTAAACCCTCAAATGTTTTAATAAGCAATTGGTTTCCGCAGCAGGATATTCTTTCTCATCCAAAAGTAAGGTTGTTTATAACCCACGGAGGAATGCAGAGCACTATCGAAAGTATTTACTTTGGTAAACCCATGTTGGGGCTGCCCTTCTTCTACGATCAGTTTGGTAACATGGAACACATCAAAAGAAAGGGTCTTGGTTTGGTTCTCAACTTTAAGGATATGACAAAGGATCAGTTTCGGGACTCAATTCACCGGTTGCTAACAGAAAAAAGTTTTGAGGAACTCGCTCGAAAAACGTCGTCTCAATATCATGATCAACCCATGAAACCTCGGGAAACGGCAATCTGGTGGACACATTATGTCCTTCGACACAAAGGAGCACCCAACATGCAAGTGGCTGGAAGGAAATTGAACTTCTTCATCTATCATAGTCTAGATGTCCTTTGCACTCTTCTGCTTGCATTTGTTGTGATTCTGGCAGTTGTAGTTATATTTGTGATTAATGTTCTTGAGATGATTTTAGGAAGACAAATTGAGAAAAATCCAATAAAGCTAAAAACTTACTAGGTACTGGATAAATTTATAAATTTGTTTATATTTTTCAAATAAATTAAAATTTGTAATATTAAAAACAGAAATTTCTTCCTTTTCCTTTCTTGTTTTGAGAATAAATTTTAAGCTAATAAATTTCACAGGAATGTATAGCAAAAAATTCAATGGTTTCCTTTCAAATTATATTATTGATTAGTGTAACGAGTAATTGTACTCTTATGTATTTATGTATCTTTAAAGAGCACAGCTAAGGTTACCTTATTCAATATTTTTAGTCTGAAAGATACGCATTGCCATATAATGGCAGACAAATAACTACCTATTGGCGGATTGCATTCCGAGGGGTCCCGCGACTCTCAGTTTGCTTTCACCGCAGGATAGCGCACCAAAATGATGGGATATTATGATGCGCGTATTTATTATATAACGATGCTTTTCTGGTCGCACGCAAAGCTGCTCGATTGGCGTCCAGTGAATTATGGAATACGCATACAAATATTTGCGGGGGGAGGAGGAGATGTATGTACTATATGTTGGCCCGTTCGAGCGCATTTATTAACCGCTGCCAATCAGTTGCATTCGCTGCGTATGCGTAATATTAAATTGCACAGAGTCACTTCCGTTGGATCGGTTTGGTTCATTTGGGCTCGGCTGCTTTTCACCGGTTTTTGGCCGCATTGCCAAATGCGTAATCAAAAATTCATGAGCTATATAAATGTGGTGTGGCTGGAATTGCCATTAGCTCTGTGTGTTTTGTGTCGGCATGCAAATGTAGATAATTTCATGCGATTTAGGGTTGGATCTGCCGACCCCCCCTTAGCCCTTTAAATATCCCACGTGGACATTGGAGAAGAGGCTATTTAATGATGTCCTGTTTTGTGGTTCGACGCGTTTTTAATGAGCTCCTGATTACCGTCGACGGAAACAGCAAAAATAATATTTATTCGACAAAACCCATGCAGAATTTGCCATTTAATCGCTTCTGTCTTTTCTGTTTTTGCTCAAGCAAAGCTATTATTTACGCAACGTCAGCAATTCCAATTTGCAGACTGCAAAAATGTGTCGGAATAACAGTTCACTTTTTGACTGAATCTAATCGGTAACTGGTCCAGGCAAATCGGTCGGTTCACTGCACTTCTCTTTTTCCTCGTTTATCCTCTCGTTTTTCCTCTCGTATTTTTACAACAACTTGTGCAGGCGAAAAGTCGAGAAAATACGAACTGCTGCTGGAAAATGCTGAAAATATGCTTAATGCTCGTTCACCTGATGATAGTTATGTGCTCGAGCAATATGACGTTTGTTTTTTTTTAATTTTTTGAAGTGTGAACTGTGAAAAAGAAAAGTAATACATGCACTGAAGGAATATTTATTATGGTTAGTGAAAAGATATACATTGGGCTTGTATGGGTAAGAGTTATTTTGTTAGTTAACATTTAAAATATTAATATTTCATGCAAACGAATATAATAAAAATAATATCCTTTGGGATAATATTTAAGTTTATAAAATCAAGAAAAGCTCGATAGTGGATATAATTCATCCCAAATATGATATCTTTCTTGAAAGAAGCCACCAGTTTTTGCTGCAAAATTTGTACCAATTTCCAAATAAGCTTGAGTTTGGGAATTATAAAGATGCCAGTTAAGGGTTTTCAAATATTCATCGTTCTTGTTGTGGGGATCACTAAAGATACAAAATTAATCAACCAATCATATAAAGCCAATAATAATACTAACCCTTTTTGAGCGAATTCAGTCCACATTCGAGTCAAACGCTCAATCATAAAATGTTCGGGATATTCTTGTTTGGTCACAAGACTAACGTGGAATAAGTACAAGAGCTCGTCATGGTGAACGGGGCCTTAAAAATATAGAACATTTGTTTTTAGACAGCCTCGGTTAATCTTTGAGTAGAACTTACCCATGGCTTCTTGGGTATCAGGATTTTTCAGGAAACTATATCTTCCTTTGTATCGAAAGAGATATGTGTAAATGGGGGTGTGCGGGGCCATAAGACGAAGAAATCTATTATAGGCCACTCCAATTACGGCGTCGCTGTAAAGTTCTCCAAAACCCTTCAGAGATTTCGGATACTCGAGCTTGTCAATGCTTTCTGGCATATACTTCTCCCTTAAAACTCGAGCGGCAGCGCGTGTTTGGGTTGAGTTGCCTTCTAAGTTTAAAGCTTTGGTAGCAAAGTCTTCCCAGTTCTGGTTGTACTTGCTGACAATGCTTTCATTTCGTAAATCAACTGAAGGGAATAATATCTTAATGTTACTTTACACACAGTTACTATTTGTAAGTTTATTGGGAGAGCTACTTACAGAGTGCTGCCGAAAGGAATTCAAACTCAGTGATGCCCGTTATGAGAGGAACTTTGTTGAAGTCTCCCCTTCTGGCGGCTTTAAAAGGACTCTCGATCAGATATCGCTCCTGGCCAAAGTCCTCCTCCAGAACTATTTGCCAGTTGAGTATGGGATTCCAGCCAATCTCAAACATGCTATTGTGGGTGCTCACATAATCCAAGTAGGGTTTTCGCCTCATGCACTCCACCATTTCGGTGACCGATTCTTGGCTGCAATTCAGTAATTTAGCTTGTCGGTGGGCCAGTCGAAGGTCGTTGTTTTGGTACTGAACTGGTCCGTAGGGAGAGGCACTCATGCAGATGCCCCGATGGAAGAGACCCCTCGACATGGGCGACACCATGTGGAGAGCCACACTGATGCTACCAGCACTATAACCCAGGAGGGTTACACTCCCCGGATCTCCTCCGAAGCTGTGGATATACTTCTGGATCCAACGCAGGGCTAAGACCTGGTCCTTCATCCCTGCGTTGCCAGGAGCATCCTTGCTTCCGGTGGCCAGGAATCCCAAGCTGCCAAGTCGGTAGTTCAACGCGACCAAAACACAATCGCGATCCATGAAATGTTCGGGTCCCGCCAAGTATTTACTTTGTCCGGATAATCCATAAAAGCCGCCAGGATGTATGAACACAATCACTGGGCGACGGGCCTTTAGGTCCTTCGTGTAGACATTCAACCGGAGGCAATCCTCGGAAACATCAGTCAAATTGTCCCATGGTTGCGGGCACATTGGCCCATCCTCAGTGGCATCAAAAGTAGTCGGAACCCAGGATTTGATGGGCTGGGGATTCACGAATCGTAAGTTTCCCAAAGGAGGTTCTGCATAGCGAATGCCTCGAAAACCGTGAAAGGGCACTCCCAATCTAGAAGTCAGTATTGCTCCTCTAATTCGTCCTAGGTCAGTGTCCACTTCGATTGAGAAAACCGATGAAACGGCCAGCAGAATCAGCAGTTCCACTAAGTAGAACCTGTACATCTTGCCGACTGTCTTAAACTAAATTGAAAAGGTTTTCGTTGCCTTTTTTATACGTAAACTTGAGGGTGTTTTTTGGGGTTTTTCCCAACGACGACCGCAACTGATCTGTCATAATAACAAGATCATTGCGAATCTCCATATCAAGCTATACAACACAATGTTGCACAGATGTATAGTTAATTTTAAAGAAGACAATGAAATCAGAAAAGCAGATGTACAAAAGGTTCTTTGTTTGAATAAATAATATATATTAAAAATACTAATTAAAATTTTTTTTAAACATTTTTGTACATTTTAAATTGTATTACTTTAAAATAAAATTATATCATTGTAAGAGAGAGAAGGTTCTAATGTTGCGCCCGGGATTTCATCTCACAACTTTTAGCTTTCTGTTGAATCTGTTGAATCAATCTTGGAAAAATCCCCGACAAGTTGCGAAGAACCAAATGAAATCCTCTATTTTTATATGTTATGTGTTACGTCGGCATATTGGTGCCCTTGTCCTAGAGGGACCAGAAAAAAATTTAATTGTGCCTGGGTAAATGGCAATGCGTCATGTTCGACTGTTGCAGTCCACACTGCCTAACAAGCTTAGATATTTTTTGATATAAACACGATCGGGCTGTGTTCGTACACATTCCCTAACCTCCACTTTTTAATGGATCAAAAATTATGTCATTGTTCTTAACCTACACTACTTCTCTCGTCAGCACCCCTGTAAAATAGTTTATACCACCTCATGTTTTGAATTAATTTTGCATTTAATATTGATTTATTAAACAACCATTGGATATGTTATCATAAAAATTATGTTTGATATAAAACAGCTTATTCTGCCATTTAAGATTAAAAAAAGTATTATTTGTGTAAAATAATCCAATTAAATATATTAATATTAATATTATAAGCAAGTTGATATTGATTGTATATCAAAGTTTATAAAATCAAGAATAGCTTGATAGTGGATATAATTCATCCCAAATATGATATCTTTCTTGAAAGAATCCTCCAGTTTTTGCTGTAAAATTTGTACCAATTTCCAAATAAGCTTGATTTTGGGAATTATAAAGAGGCCAGTTAAGGGTTTTCAAATATTCATCGTTCTTGTTGTGTGGGTCACTAAAGATACAAAATTAATCAACAAATTACATAAAGCCAATAATAATACTCACCCTTTTTGAGCGAATTCAGTCCACATTCGAGTCAAACGCTCAATCATAAAGTTTTCGGGATCTTCTCTTTTAAATAGAGGACTCACAAGACCCACGTGGAATAAGTACAAGAGCTCGTCATGGTGAACGGGGCCTTCAATTGAAGAATATAAATATTTACAAGACGTAGGTCAATTTTTTAATAGTGCTCACCCATGGCTTCTTGGTTATCAGGATTTTTTAAGAAACTATATCTTCCTTTGTATCTAAAGAGATATGTGTAAATCGGTGTGTGCGGGGCCATAAGACGAAGAAATCTGTTGTAAGCCACTCCGATTAAGGCATCGCTGTAAAGTTCCCCCATACCCTTTAAAGATTTCGGATACTCCAGTTTGTCCACGCTTTCTGGCATATATTTTTCCCTTAAAACTCGAGTGGCAGTTCGTGTTTGGGTTGAGTTACGTTCCAAGATCAGAGCAATGGGAGCGAAATCCTCCCAGTTCTGGTTGTACTTGCTCACAATGCTTTCATTTCGTAGGTCAACTAAAAGAAATAATTAGTAAATATAATATTCCCTTCATAGGTTTTACTTACAGAATGCTCCCGAAAGAAATTCAAACTCAGTGATGCCCGTAATGAGAGGAACCTTGTAAAAGTCTCCCCGTTTGGCGGTTTTGAAAGGACTTTCAATCAGGTAGCGCTCCTGGCCAAAGTCCTCCTCTACAACGATTTTCCAGTTGAGCGTAGGATTCCATCCAAACTCGAACATTCCATTGTAGGTGCTCACATAATCCAAGTAGGGTTTTCGCCTCATGCACTCCACCATTTCGGTGACCGATTCTTGGCTGCAATTCAGTAATTTAGCTTGTCGGTGGGCCAGTCGAAGGTCGTTGTTTTGGTACTGAACTGGTCCGTAGGGAGAGGCACTCATGCAGATGCCCCGATGGAAGAGACCCCTCGACATCGGCGACACCATGTGGAGAGCCACACTGATGCTGCCGGCACTATAACCCACGAGGGTTACACTCCCGGGATCCCCTCCGAATCGGTGGATATGCTTCTGGATCCAACGCAGCGCCAAGACCTGATCCTTCATCCCCGCATTGCCAGGAGCATCCTTGCTACCGGTGGCCAGGAATCCCAAGCTGCCAAGTCGGTAGTTCAACGCCACCAAAACACAATCGCGATCCATGAAATGTTCGGGTCCGGCCAAGTACTTACTCTGCCCGGAGAAAACATAGAATCCACCCGGGTGGATAAACACAATAACTGGGCGACGGGCTTTCAAGTCCTTCGTGTACACATTTAGCCGGAGACAATCCTCGGAAACATCGGTCATATTGTCCCATGGTTGCGGGCACATCGGTCCATCCTCAGTGGCATCAAAAGTAGACGGAGCCCAGGATTTAATGGGCTGCGGATTCACGAATCGTAAGTTTCCCAGGGGAGGTTCTGCATAGCGGATGCCACGAAAAGCATGGAAAGGTACTCCCAATCTGGAGGTTAGATTTGCTCCTCTAATTCGTCCTAGGTCAGTGTCCACTTCGATTGAGAAAACCGATGAAACGGCCAGCAGAACCAGCAGTTCCACTGAGAACCTATACATCTTGCCGCCTGTCTTAAACTAAATTGTAAAGGTTTCCGTTCCCGTATTTATACGTAAACTTGAGGTTGAAATTGCTTTTGGGGCTTTACCCAGCGACGATCGCAACTGATCTGGCATAATAACAAGATCGTCGCTTGCCTCTATATATATAGAATGTATACAATACGATGTGGTGCAGATGTATAGCTGCTTTATATGAGAACAAAGAAATCAGAAAAGCAGATGCTTAAAGGGTTCTTGGTCTTACATGTAAAAAATCATACTTAATAATTTAGAGATGACAAATGTTGATAAAAATATTTTTAAAATGTTTAATTTTTATTGATATTAACATAACTAAACTTAAGTTATTTATTAAGATATAAGATATAGATCCTAACGATTTAATACTATTATTAGAATTACTTTATATGAAATAGAGTAAACAATTTCAGCTTAAAATGTACTGCATTTATTTCTCTAAGTTTTGCTTAGGTTCTATTTATGTGCCCGGAAATTTGTCACAAAACTTTTAGTGTTTTGTGGAATTAGTTTCTGTGTCAATATTGGAAAAATCCCCGACAAGTTACAAAAAACCAAATGCAATCCAATTTTGTTTATATATAATGCCTTATATTTGCACTTTTAATAACTTAATATATTTCAACTATAAGTTAACCTACATAATGAGCTGTCGTGATTCAGGTTTTGTAATTAATTTTTTAATTATATGTAATTGTAACTATTTTTATATATGGTTGTTTATGATATCAGCAAAATCGTTCTCCATTGCAAGCCTAAAATGCCACAAAAACAATAGCTCGTTGGTTGCACTTTTAAGCCGGATCGGCGTTAAAGCCGCCAACATTTCCGCGACGGACGCTGATTTTCCAACAGCACGGCCATGGCCCAAAACAGTTTCAATAAGTTGGGCTAAAACTTTTACACGCCTTTTGCCAGCGAAAAGGATGAGAAGAGCAGGAGGATTCACGGCAAAGAAAATAAAAGCATTTAGCCGTGGGCGTTTCGTGGGTGTGGGAGTGGCAGGGAGGGGGCGGAAAAGTGGGTAGGGGCGTGGCACTCAGTTGGTTGCTGTTAAAAATTTGAACGCGCTGATGGGCATTTTTACAACTGAAGCGTTAACTATGTGCAACTTGCAGGAGGATGAAAAAGGGGGGTTCGGATAAAATAGGAGCCAACAAAGAAAAGTTATCTGAACCAGATCGAAAATTCAAATACCCTTTGCAGAAATAATAAACAAAAATTATGAAATAGAGCAAGGTTAGTATAGTAAATATTAATATTTGCTATTTAAAAGTTGTTTTATTTCAAAGAATGTTAATTACACATTTTAAACAATTATTTCATATATACAAAGAACTTCAAGCTTTTAGGGCAACGCATATATATTCTTGTTGTTTTCTGTAAGCGTGTGAAAATATAAAGGGGACTAAAAGCAGAAAGAATCAAAAAGGAGAACGAAGGAAAATGGGAAGGCAACGTAGCATTTTTTCGATAGTAGCTCACAATATTTTCCATTTTAGTTTACAAGTTTCGAGCCGCAGGCTGAAAGCAACCGCACAACCCCACTGTAAAATCAAATGAAATTTTCACGAGCTCGCCCAACAACATCAAATGGTTACAAGTTTGAAGATATTTTGCAGAAAAACGTATACTAGTAAATAAAACGTTTATTTAAATGATTTTCCCTTGAGCAAATTAAAAAAATACAACACAAATCCACCACTGAATCATCTAAAAACTAAAATTAAATAAAAGAGCACCATAATTTACAGAATGGTCATGGATTTTCAATTAAATTTTCGCATGAGTTTAATTTTGCTTGGCTTTTGGTTTTGGCTTGGGACTTGACTTCTTGATGAACAACTCCTGTAGAAGACGCCACACCCAACGGATCAGCAGGAAAACGCAGAATAACACGAATAAAATGCTACCGTATAACACGAGCATGGCATCCAGATTGTGATACTGGATGAAGTTCAGATCCTGGGAGGCACTCCTCAAATACTTGGCACCCTTGTGCCGGGAAACATGCTCCACCCAGAAAACAGCTCGCTCCAATGGAGTCTGCGGCTGATCCCGATATCTGTCGGACATGTCGCGCACCTTCTTTGTGGCCTCGGGATCATTAATTAAACGCTGAATGGCTGCCAAAAGTTTCGGGGCAGTTAACTCGTCATAAAGCACCGTCACTCCATAACCATTTTGTTCAGCACGAGCCATATTCAAAAACTGATCGCCGAAGATTGGGATTCCCACGAAGGGTTTGCGATGGTAAATCGATTCCGTGGTGCTCAGCAGACCTCCGTGGGTGATAAAGGCAATCACATTATCGTGGGCCAGGATGTCGTCCTGTGGGAACCAGTCCGAGATAAAGACATTGGCGGGTTTTCCCGGCAGTTCAGTGTCTTCGAATTTCCACAGCACACGTTGCTTCAACTGGGCAAAGGTGTCGATTAGAGCATGTCTTTTATCCAGCGGCAGGGTTTTACTTTTCAGATTGGAACCCATCGAGAAGTAGATAACTCCATGCTTGGCTCCCTCAATAAACTCCTGAATGTCCTTGGGCAGCGGCTTGCGCACTCGATTAATGTGCATGCCTCCCACTTCAATCATATTCGGGGAATAAGGTCGCGGAAAACTGAGGGAAACGTGCTGATTTAGCAAAACAAGAGCCGTATTCTTGCGCATCTCATAAAAGTCCTGTTTGTTATTCGGGAAGTATTTGCGGTAAAGGACTTCCTGGCGCGGCAGATAGAAGTAGTTAAGGAAGAAATACTCGAAGGTGAGGAAGGCCAAGTTGCCGACTCGCTCGGCGAAAGACATGTGGTCACTGAACTTCAGCAGTGCACTGGGAACATAAGAGGGCGGTGAGGGACTTCCAACCTTGAAATTACAGAAACAAACATTAAATCAGCAACTCCTTATATCTGTTTTTGATAAAATATACCCACCAGATCTGTGTTCCAGCTAATGGCGCCAAAAGTACCCAGTCCGATAAGTGGAGCCTTGAAATGCTCCGCCAATCCGAAATGGGCTTCGTTTAGGAAAACCTCCACTATCACACCATCGAAGGTCTGATTCGATTTCATCAGCTCCACCACAACCGGATCACTTAGCAAAATATCTGTTATTTCAATGCCCATTTCATGAAATTCTACGATCTGCTTGGTTATTGGTCTCTTGGATGATTCCAAAAGGTTTGCCATTCTACCTAAAGATGAAAGAAAAGCAAAAAGGGTCAGTATTTTTTTCATTTTATTTTTAAGCCCATAATACTATAAAAAGAAATTCAATAAAATTTAAAACTTTTTCTCGGAACATCTATTTTGCAAACAAAGAGACTTTGTATTATAATAATTATTAACAAAAAGCGCGAAATAGCTCAAAATGTTAAAAATAGTTGTATTTTGTTACCAAGTGTTATAACCTAATCTAAAATTGTGCAATTGGTGATTACAAAAAATCTTGAGTGCTTATGGTCTGCAGACAGGGGTATGTTATACCTTATTTCTTGATAAAAAATGGTGCAAAATAATATACAACTCATGACCATTACTATAGGATTTTTATAAAAAAAATATTTTGTTGCATTACAATAAAGTTCTTTCTTGAGCTTTGTTAATGAAAGTCATCGCATTGGCATTAGTTGATATAGACAATAACACTGGCGTGAGTAAATTAACACACTTGATTGTGTAATACTCTTACCGATTTGTTAGCTCAACTCACCTTGCATGATTGACAAAACGCCTTTGGCCGTAACATCTTTGACGTTCTTTATGGGTTTCTTGGACTCGAATGGGGAGACAATGGTGACCTGGTGTCCAGCACTGGCCAATCCCTTGGCCAAGGCGGATCCCACATGGTAATGGGAACGAGCAGCCGTGTGGCTAACCACCAGGTAATTATAGGCCGAAACGCAACTTAGCAGACAAAACAGCAACAGAGCCAGAAAACTCGTTTGGCGCGGGGTTAGTTTCATTTTTCCGATTTAAAAACGACAAATTCTAGACATTTATTTCCACTTAATTCTGTCCAGCTGTTGAATGCGTTCCCATCAGCCGCCGATCGTATTTTGTGGAGCTGATATGCGAACACTTTGGCGCCTAGAAATAAACTGAGCTAACTTGTGCCCGCGATGAGGTAATTATAAGCGGTTGGGTTAGGTTCCAATTTGTGGAGAGGGAGTCTCCATGTGTTGGCCACCCAGTCTCTATCTTTATCTCTCCAACAAACAGTGACACTATGTTCAGGTTCTCTCTTTATTGTTTTGTTCTATCATCGTTACGTTGCCATAAACATATTCTCGATATTCGTAGGCTTCTCACGATCGAAAAACTCCCCAAAAACTCTCGCTCTCATCCGCCTACATTATCAGTTTTGGTTTTTGGTTCCTCCTCGATTCTTGATTCCCCTTTGGTTTGTTTTGTTTACCGGCTTTCTGGGGTTGGTATATACATGTATGCATTTATAACTTTGTTTTGTTTTTCCGGTTTGTCAACGCTTTCTGGCAACAGATAGAATTAAATTATGATTTAACAAAAAAGGTTCACTGATAGTAAAGGCATTTTATTTATTTTAAATATAGACAACAAAATTATTTTTGTTTTGATATCTTCAAAATCTCTATTTTTCTTACAGAGATAAAAAAGTTAATAGTATGTATGTACATATATTGTTTCTATTTTATATATGTTAAATATTTCATATTTATTCATATATCTTTAATTAATTACTGTTTGCTTAGAAATTTTTAAAGGCTTTGCCTTGGTAAAGTTGCTTTAATTAAAATTAAGTACACCTATCATTATTTTGTTTCCAATTTTTCCAATTTACCTTCTAATGAACACATACATATGTTTTTTGTAAATTTTATGCCGTTAGTTTATGAAGGACTTTTTTTTACTAAAATATATATTTTTTTCTTTAACTAATTAGTTTTCTTCTTTGAACTTTTGGGCTTTGTGCTGCCTTTTACTTTAACAACGACAAACCAAACGGCAAGTAGTATTAAAAGAAGAATAAGTCCAAGTGACGCAAAGAATGCGGCCAACACATCCAGATTATGGTACTGAATGAAGTTTAGATCCTGACAGGCACTCCTTAGGTATTTCGCTCCCTTTTGCCGAGTCACATGCTCCACCCAATAAACAGCTCGTTCCAGAGGCGTTTCCTTTTGATCCCGGAACTGATTGGACATGACCCTGACCTTCTCAAGATATCTGGGATCTGTAGTGATCCTATCGATGGCAGATCGGAATAAGGGAGCCGTAAGTGTGGCGTACTTTACTGTGATTCCATAACCCAGTTGCTCTGCTCTTGCCATATTCATAAATTGATCCCCGAAAAAGGGAATTCCTACGACGGGTTTGCCATGATAAATCGATTCCATTGTACTCAAAAGTCCTCCGTGGGTGATGAAGGCAATCACTTTTTCGTGGGCCAGGATATCGTCCTGCGGAAACCACTTGGATACGAACACATTTGCCGGCTTGTCGGGAAAGTTTTCCTCTTCGTATTTCCATAGAACTCGGAACTTGAGACCCCTTAAGGTCTCCACAATCGCTTTCCGCTTTTCTTTTGGCAAATCCTTGCTGTTTAGATTGGAACCCAGTGAGAAATAGATCACTCCGTGTTCGGCTCCTTCAATGAATTCGCGGATATCCTTGGGGAGCGGACTCGATTCTTTGCGATTCACGTGCATTCCACCCACTTCAATCATGTTTGGCGAATAGGGCCTCGGATTGCTAAGCGAAACATGAGTGTTCAGCAAAACCAATGAAGTACTCTTTCGCATCTCATAAAAGTCCAGTTTGTTGTTTGGGAAATACTTCTTATAGAGCACCTCGTGTCTGGGCAGATTGATCAAGTTCTGATAGACGAATTCGTAAATCTGGAAACCCATATTTTGGGCTCTCTCCCAGAAGTTCATGCGGTCACCGAATTGGAGTAAATTATGCGGCACTTACGAAGGTGGTGATGGACTGCCCACCAAATCGGAGGTCCAACCTGTGGCTCCCAAAGTGCTGAGTGTGATCAATGGAGCTCCAAAGTGCTCGGCAAATCCGTAGTGGGCGTCGTTCATGAAGGTCTCACAGATGACTCCATCGAAGGTTCGGTTTTGAGCCAGGAGCTCCTGAACCGCCGGATCCTTAAAAAGGCCTTCTGTCAAATCCAATCCCATATTACTTAGTATTGGATAGCGTGCCACAACCGATTTCTTGGCATTTTCCAGAATTCTAGACTTGTGAACTTTCGGAGTAGGAATAAAAAAATCGGATTATATCTTTTGAGTAGATCTATTAAAACCCAACAAAAATTTACTTCCCTGCAAGTCTAAAAAATTTTTATTAATTATTTTTACAAAAAACAAAAAAAAAAAAAAACATTTTGTTATAATCTATGCACAAATCTTTCCGCCAAATAAATTATTCTGACAAATGGGCATGCTAACCAACTTGTGGTTGACCCATTAAAAATTAGGCAAACGCTCTCGACTCGCTTATCAGTTACGGCTAAGCATATTGTAGGTGATAAGCAATACGTGACAGTCTGGGAAAAACGTTTAGAGTACAACTAATTGTTAACACTCACCTGCCATTACGGTGAAAATATTCGGCGTGTCTACATCGGTAAAATTATTGATAGCTTTATTCTGCGGAAATGGCGATATCAAAGTGACTTCATGGCCGGCGTCAATCAGACCTTTGGCCAGAGCAAAGCAAACGGTGTGATGGGACTTGGAAGCAGTGTGGCTCACTATCAGGTAGGAGTGTCCCCAAGTCTGGCCAATAAACGCCGTCAGTAGAAATAGCCAAAAAACGAGTAGGGAGCGCATTTCTACAGCACTTTCGGAAGTTCCTTGCAGACTGAAGACATATTACTTATTTCGCTGGTAGTTATAGTATTTGATAAGATCCTAATAAAAATTGTTATTATAAAACTATGTACTTTGTCTTTTTTGAATAAATTTATTTTTGTCAATTTTAGATGGTAAAATATGTATAATAGTATGGTTAACAATATTGTTTAACTTATCGATTTTTGATTTATTATTTTTTCATTATTTTAAAATAGCCAATAAAAACAAAATTGAATCAGTGTTAGCATCGTTCTCTTAAAAACAACAGTTTCTTGTCTTCTCAATTCACTTCTCTCTTACCTAAAAACTTTGAGTTGACTTTTGTTCGCGCGTGCTCTTAGAGAACTTAAGAGCTTAAAATGCTGATTGATCAGCATGAATAAAACTGTGGACACTACACTGAAAAAGGTGTTGATCAAATATACCTATAGAAATTAGTTTTGAAAAATAAAACAATATATATTAAAATAAAAGTTTAAAAATATTTGATTATAATCATGCAACCAAAACATTGTGAAGCTGTTTTTGTTATATTGTTAATTAATCTGTAGCTTATTCAGCGGTCGACGTGACCTACTTGATTCTTCTTTGTCGAGTTTGTTTATCATATACATAGATTGTATCAATTCCATGCTGAGCCTCACGCAAAAGTTTAATTTCACAATAAACAAGTGTGTATATACCGAGAAATCTATATAAACTTATGTTATGCGGCAAACATTCTCAGTCTGTTGAAGCAACGTGCTCAGTTCGGTTCGGATATAAATATCTCACTTGAATTTCACCACAATGCGTTTATTAGCCTTGATCTTGGGGCTACTGTTTAGCTTGGAATACTGTAGTGGTTATAAGTTCCTAATGATCCTGAACTCCGCGGGCCGTTCGCACTTTAATATTGGTCATGCCTTGGCCAAAGGATTGGTTAATTCTGGACATGAGATCACTGTGGTTTCTGTTTATCCTCTAAAGAAACCCATTCCTGGTTATCACGATATAAATGTGCCTAATGTGATTAATGCAATGAAAGGTGAATACAAATTAACGAAATCTGATTTCCACTTTGTTAAATCGAAACTATTTAATAGGAGACATGGCTGGTCTGTGGGAATCCATCCAGCAACCTGTGACGCATAAGCTGATTACCCATTATCAAATGGGTTTCCGCATCACCAGAGGTCTTTTCGAAGACCCCAATTTTCAGGATCTCTTAAAGAGCAACCGTATTTTCGATGCGGTGATTTGTGAGACCTTTTATAATGATGCCCACTATGGCTTAGCTGAGCATTTTAATGCACCACTGATAGGATTGAGTACCGGTGGTGGTCTGACTTTTATCACAGATATGGTAAGTAAAAATTTACTTAACATTACATGACTTTTTTCTAAAGATTAACTTATTTTCAGGTTGGTTCCCCGGCTCCAGCTTCATTTGTGCCACACATAATGTTGCCCTTCAACGATCACATGACGCTCTACGAACGCTTTTTAAACGTGGCTTTTCTGGCATATGAACGATTTCTACTGGACTATTATTATTTACCAGGACAAGAAAAGCTCTACAAGGAGTTCTTTCCGGCAAACAAAAGATGTTTCTATGAAATGCGCAGAAATGCATCACTGGTTCTAATCAATCAGCATGTTTCACTGAGTTTTCCACGACCTTATTCACCCAACATGATTGAAGTGGGTGGCATGCACATTGATGGCAAGTTAAGTAAGCTCCCCGAGAAGATTGAAAAATTTATTAATGAATCAGAGTTCGGAGCTATATACTTCTCGATGGGATCGAATCTCAAGAGTAAGGATTTACCACCATCAAAGGTTCAAGAGATTTTAAAAGCATTCCATGGATTAAAACAGCGAGTTCTTTGGAAGTTCGAACTAGATGATCTGCCCAACAAGCCAGATAATGTTTACATATCCGACTGGTTTCCACAGACTGATATTCTAGCCCATCCAAAGGTTTTGGCTTTTGTAACCCATGGAGGAATGTTAAGTACTACGGAATCCATTTATCATGGCAAACCTGTCATAGGATTGCCTATATTCAGCGATCAGTTCTTTAATATGGCTCATGCCGAGCAAACAGGTTATGGAATTATGCTGGATTTCAAGTCACTGAATGCCAAAGATTTCAAGAAAGCCATCGAGAGGATTACGAGTGAATCTTCCTATACAAAAGTAGTGCAGAGTATGTCCTCCCGATACCGCGATCAGCAAACTACTCCTTTGGAAAAAGCTATATATTGGGTTGAACATGTTACCCGACATCAAGGTGCTGCCTATTTACAAAGTGCCGCCCAAAGACTAAATTGGTGGCAATACCACAATGTGGATGTCCTACTAATTATTTTTTTGATAGTGTTCTTATTTTTAGTTGTACTACCTCTTGTTATTTTTAAGCTGACGAAAAGACTTTTCTCTGCCCAAAGAAAACTTCAAGGCGAAAAAATTAAAAGGAACTAGAGAATTAATCTTCCACTGATTAAAAAAAAAAACATGTCTAGTTTTATTGTGTTTTTAAAGTAAATAGTTGATTGAACGGTGGTTAAAAAGTTTAATACATAAATCAGCATAACCTAACATTTCAACAAATTTTCACATTTTTTTCAAAAATCACATTATATAAAGATAGTAGTTATCTCTAACAAACAATTGTAATCTTTGCCCCGTTGTCTCATTTATTGTACCATTTCCATTTCCGAGTCAACAAAAAAAAAAAATTTCTGCCTAAAAGCATGCTGCATAATATTGTTTTCATCTTTTCCACCCATCGCACAAACAATTGCTAAACTCGTAACAAAAAGTTGAGATGTATTTTCATGGGCTGCCAAAAATACATTTCGCTTTCCTATTATTGGCCACGTTATCAATGCACACACGTGCCGGCCGCTGATTGATTTCGCTAGAAAACGAGAGGAAAATATAAACCAAACGTAAATGACAAAACAAAATTGGAAATGCAGACGATGGGGGCGAAAATTTAAATAGGCACTCGAGCATTAAATTAAGCACCAACAACTTAGGTCGCGGAAAATCAGTCAGAAAGAGTGAGAGCAGGATAGGAAAAACAAGAAGAGCCACTGTGGCATCCGCCCACGTCCACGCCCGCTTTTCCAAAAAATAAAAGGAAACCGCTCCGAGGTGCAAAACGGCTGAAATGAAGGAAATGAAATGCCAAAAAGACAGAGCTTCCCCTCGCACAACACACACACGTTAGCTTTTCCAAGTGTGGTACACAGGAAAAATACTTATTACCTTTATTGGAAATAGGTATTTTGAAAAGAGCCTAAAATGTCATAAAACAGAAAATAAAATTTAATAAAAGAGCTTTAATTTCTTAAGAAAAGACTATTAATATTTTTGCTTTAATTTTTAATATTTGAATATTAATAATTTAATAATTAATAATAATAATATTTGCTTTTCTTAATGCCTTTTTTATTTGATAAAAATCTGTAAAATTTTATAAGCTTGTTTGAATGTAAGTTAAACTTTCTGATTGCTTAGAACTACAATTTTCTCTCAGTGTAAGAGTGTGCAATGACATTGAAAAGACACGATGAGCGAGAGGCAAAGCAAGTGAAGCAGTGAAAAATATGGAAAATATACGTAATGTGAGCCAAAAAGTTAGCTATGCACAAAAACTTTTTTGATGGCGCGCTGAAAGTGAAAAGTAAATTTACGCTAAAGTCGCCGAAATGCACAGTAAAGGGAAAATAAAAATTGAGAGTTGAGTGGGTTTGTTTTCAGAGGAGAACGGCGAGCGGAAAAGCGGTGTGCAGGGGGAACTTGCAAAAGAATATGAAATGGCAAGAAATGGCGAAATGAAACGGAAGTTCAAGTTGATTTGTTTGCAGGCAAAGTGGAATTCCCCCTCTCCGTTTCTCCTTCCATTTTTCCCACTCACCCACACATTGACAGCCATTTTGCGGAAACGGAAGTTGCGTTTCAATCGCACTTCTGATGAAGTTAACAACAACACCAAAAAAAAAACAGCAACAACAGATGGCTGCCAGGGCAAATAAATTTAGCATAACAATGCTTGGCAAATTTACGAGTGTGTGTGTGCGAATACAACGCTGCGTATGCGTATTATGATTATGATTTTGATTCGCAAATAACGCGTACACGTTTTGTAAATTTTAAAGCTTATTTTGGTATGGCAAGTTGTGGGTTTTTTTTTGACGACATGTTGTCTTGAATAAGAGTGGCTTATCAAAACTATATTCTTCATTATCCTTAGATTTTTTAATTAACAGATTACGAATACATTCAATGGTTGTTTATGTGCCTATAAAATTTGTTTATATCTTGAGCGAAGGGGACCCTCGACTGTATTGAAAGGGCTTGCTTAAAATTGCACTTTTCCTTTAAGGGCATTCTTTCCGGAGAACAACATTTTCTTTTCGCTGTTTTTTAAACATCTTGGGGCTATGATTCATGCATGTGATGTCTGCGGTCCTTAATGTCGCAGTATCGTAATTAAAAAGTGCACTGCGGCGCCGTCGGCATTGTTTTTTGTTTTATTTCTGTTTTCTTTTTTTTTGTATGTTCTCCCTGATATATCACACATATCCTTTTCTCCCTTCCCCAACTTTTTGCAGAGATTGCGCTTGAAATGACAGTTGCACTTGCACCATGACAATGCGCCCGAAATGGAAAATGGTGCTGGGAAATGGGGTGGGAAAATCAGAGTGGGGTGGCTATGCAGCGGGGCAAATTGATTGCGATTGTTGAGTTGATTGGCAGGCGACACACACACACATATACACTCGTATGTATAGATTGACTGCATGCGACACTGGCAAACAAAAGCGGTGCTTTGTGGTTTTCATTGTTGATGCCTTTTTTCCTCCCTTTTTTCGCTTTGCTCCTTTCTTCTTGTTAAAGCTCTTTTTTTTGCACCAATTTATTTTTGGTTGTCGTTGAAATTAAGTTCGTTTTGTCTTTTGCATTTTTTTCATTCTCTTTTTTTGACATTTTGAACACGTGCAATTTACAAGATGAAAGATAGTTTACAACACAGCTTAGACAAAGGAAAAATTTAGTGTGTGACGTTGTCGTTGTCTTTGTTTGAGTACCCTTTTAGAAGCATTTGCGTTAGTTTTAATTGGGAGCTTGGAATTAATTCAAAATTTTTATATATCTTTGCGTTAGGAATCACTGTTATTGATGTATTATGGTATATATTGAACGCCCTATGCGCAAATAAAGAATTCTTTGTCCTGAACTTTCGACCCTTTATTCAATCTTTTCAGTGAGTTTGTTATTGATCAATTTATTAATTTTAATTTGGCTGAACAATCAAAAATGTAGGTTTAAAGTTCAAGCAGCACCTGCAGCTAAATGTTTTTAGTTGATGATTCTCACATTTTCAAACGCATTTTGTGATTTCTCTATTTTTAGGCGTACTAAATAATTTGATTTAATGTTGTCGCCTTTGGCGGTGTTTTAAAAGTTAATTGTTGTCGCCGGCGGCAAATAAAAAACGGAGTGTGAAAAGATGGGAGTAAATATCTTAAATATGCAGTGGAATTGTTTTTTCAGATTTACTTACGGGCTTTTCGATCGAAGAACAAAGAAAACCATCCAATTAGTGTGCCGGCTCTGTGCCAAGACTTTAAAGTTACTAACTTTTTCTTTTTGCCTTTTTGCCGAACCCAGAAGCTATTGGAGGACAAAAAGAAAAGTGGCGCTCTCTTTTAAGTTTTTTTGTTTTTCGACTGGTCTGTGCTCTTTGAAATATTAAAATTAATAATAAATGTTGACGGCATTCATTTGTTGCTGTTGGTACCCAAATATGAAGTCTTCATTATGGCCAACGAATTTTGCGTTGTCTATGTTCTGAAACACTCCTCCTAAACCAGCTCTTGTAAGTACAGTTAAGGTGAAACCTGTGACAAAAAATAAAAAAAAATTATATTATATTTAGAAAGATTGTTGTAAGTTATAAAAGGCAAACACACCTCAGTCAGTATAAAAATTTTAAAACCAATTTATAACAAAAACTCCTAGTTTTTTAATTCCGCTACGAAAGAAGTAGGAAAAAAATGTTTTTTATTTTATACTATTATTTTGACCGCAACTGTTAGCTTTCTCTTTTCGTCTGGTTGTGATTTTTATTTCTTTTGGCAATTTGTGCAGTTTGTGTTTCTTTTTCGCTTTTCCCGTTTTAACTCGCATTTGCTTCGTTTTTCTGCTAAATTAAATTTTATTTAACTGTTATGCATGAAATTGGTTACAATTTTTATTTTCATGCTGCTTTGTCTGCACTCGTATACACACTCATACATACGCACACACCAAAATGGCCGCTAATTTCTTTTTAAATTATTTAACAATTTTCGACTGGCATTCGCCAGTTGTTGGTTTTGTCTGCTGGCAAAACAATCTAATTAGGCGGCGGAAGAAGTGGAACGATAATAACGATGACGGCGCCGATTTGTTTTATGCCAATTTACTTGGCAACATTTGTTGTTAATGCGACTGCCAAGAAATTTGGCACTGTCTCAAATTGCGGAAATCCCGTCTGCTAAGTCACTGTCCCCAAAAACAGGGATAATTGGACGAAAATACATAAATTTGGGTGAATAGATTGGCCAATGGAGAAATTAAAAATTTGTTATTTACATTTAGAATTATTGTTTTCAATGGTTTTAAATTGATTAAAATATCGTCACTTTAGCTAGAAGTATAAACTGTTCGGCGGTAGTTAACCAAGAAACAATAATTGTAATAGTTAACGATTGCATAAACTTTAAGCATTGAAATCTTGCTTGAAAAATAAATGAATACAGTAATAAATGAGTGAATAAACGGTGGGCCATATATAATGAAATTACGGCAGAGCCGCTACTTAAAGTGCCAGTTTTCTGATTGGATCGGGCGCAAGGACCTGGCATCGCCTCAATTGGCAATTAAAGCGCATCAACATTAATGTCCGGCCGCCTGATGATGATAATAATAATAACGATGACAACGAGACGACGAGCACGTATTTTTCCTTTTGGAAAAGTGGCAGAGGAAAAAAACAAGCACCAAGGATTTTCTCGCTGGGCGCTGACATGTGGTCATTGTTGTTGCGCTGCTCCCCGTGACGTCAGTTGGCAAATTAAAAAGCGTAAGGAAGAAGATGAAAACTCTTTCCAGTGACAGCGGCAGCAGCAGCAGCAGCAACAACAACAACTACAAAAACAAAAACAAAAATGCAATTTATGCACGACTTGCATATTAAACGTGTGTTAATTTTAGAGCAGTGCAGTCAGTTCAGCTGTCTCTGTCAGACTATAGCCATTCCCCTCTCGCCCACACGAAATGACAGGCTGCGGTCAACGCCATTTGCTTTTGTTATTCCAGGAGATGGGAAAGAGGAAGCGGGAGAGAGCTCGCTAGGAAGTGCCACTCGTTGATCTCGCTCCCTCTCGCTCTTACACTCAGCCATGCAATTTTCCAGTTGAAAGGCTTAAAACTAAATTAAACTTTATGACTTGGCAAAGAGCAACA